AAGTTTGCTTCCATAAACTGTTACATAGGAGTAATGTTAGTACCGGTAACACAATTCTGTATATTTAAATGCCAAGTGCTTAGCTTAAGGGCTGACAAATTTTAAATACACAATAAATGATATGTATTACTGTATAGTTGTTACTAAAGATTGTACCTTTGGGCATCTATATAAAGTCGGTGGCATATTGGTCTTGAAGTCACATTGCTATACTAAGAAGACAGGGAATTTATGGAAATATAAATATCCTAGTGTCAAAAATAAAACAAAAAGCACCAAACCTTAAGTTCTAGTTTTCATGTGTCCGCTCATGCGTTCTCCAAGTGGCTACAATGGCCAAATATGAGTTGATCCAAAGCCCAGAGCCAGGAGCTTCATCTGGGTCTCCCACAAGGGTTCAGATAACAAGGCTTTGGGACCTCCTGTACTATTTTCCTAGGCTACAAATGAGCTAGAGGGAAGTGGAGCAGCTGCGACATGACCTGGTGCCAATATGGGATCCGGGTGCATTCATAGCAAGGACTTTAGCCATTAGGCTAACACGTGGGGCTCATAAGTTCTAATCTTCTTGGCATCAAGTTGGTATTGCTATGTAACATTGCTGAGCGTCAGTGGGACAGGCACTATTAGTGGTTCAGTCATGTCCTCTTACTTTCCATCACACTGTGTGTGCTGACCTAATGACTCCCGACTTTCAGAACCTGTGATGTTGCCTACACTTTATCTATTGGCTGTAATCCAATCACAGGATGCTTAGAAAATGTTAACATTTCTTCTAGAACAGCCATCATTGGCCGGGTAGATAGCCCAGCAGCTCTTCAGTGTTGTTAACTGTGTCTGTATTTTACAGTATGTTCCATGTTCTTCATTTGATTTACTAAACCCTAACCCTCTCCACAGAAAGATGGGTAATTACCTTCACTTTATTCTGTGGATCACTTCTTTAAGATTTCAACCTGTCTTGGAATTCTTGTCTCACTGTGCTTTAGCGGAACTTGATTTAGGACACTCTTAATTCAACTGGAGCCAATGGCATCTACCTCTTTGTGGGAACACAAAGGATTAAATGCAATCATAGATGTTATGACTTTTGAACAACACAAAAGGCTCTGTGTGAACACTCTTTCTCCACTCTTTGAAATTTCCCCAAACCAATATTTAAAACACTACAATTCTCCTACTCCGTGGCAAGTACCAACACAGTGCTTCAACTGATTTAGGCTGCCGTGTTCTCACTCCTGGTCTCTGGCTTTTCATCCCTTGCCCAGCCTTCCTTCAGGTCTTCATCCTGTTTTCTTTGCTAACATTTATCATTATTTGAGTCTGCCTGTATATGTCCTAACACGGGATCATATAGTTCATGAGCTCCTGGGTAACTCCTGCCTTCTGCAAATCTCTGTCCGTGGCACCACTAACAGAGTGTGGCATGTGACAGGAGCTCATTGAATAGCTGTTGAATGAACTTAGCAAGTAGGTAATAAATCCATTTTCTGTATTTTCATTTATAGAATGTTGCAGAAATGGGACACAGAGTCCCAGGAGCTCTTCATTCAGATAGAGGACTTCTTATGTAAATGTAATATAATCTCAAAATCGGGAAATGAACGGAGAGATCTTCTCAGAGTGACAATTTCATCCTATCGTTACCCTGTTTACCTGCCTAGGGACTTCTCTGTTCACTTAGGATGGACACCTCCTGTGACCTCCAAGATTCCTCCATATTCGGCTCTTTCAAACTCTGGCACCTCCAATCCACATCTTCTCCTTGTATGTCCCAGTCCTACAGGCTCTCTTCTGGTGACTCTTGGGAGGTGCTGAGTGGTCTCCCGCTTTAGGGCTTTAGTGAGGTCTTCCCTGTGTCTGGATTGTTCTGCCCAGAATTGACTCTTTCCTATCTAGTCTTCCCTTCTCAGGTTGAAGGTTACCTCTTCAGATGGGCTTTCCCTGTTAAATCACTTTATCCCATTCTTTCCCCCACCCCCGTCCATGCTTGTTTCTTTCAGAGCATTTATCCAAATCTATTGTCATATGTGGTTGATTTACTTGTCTTTACATGGCTCTTGCTACACTGAGTGTGAGCTCCAAAGATACTAGGAATTTTGGGCCCAGCGCTGTAGCCTAGCAGCTAAAGTCCTTGCTGTGCATGCACCAGGATCCCATATGGGCACTGGTTCTAATCCTGGCAGTTCTGCTTCCCATGCAGCTCCCTACTTGTGGTCTGGGAAAGCAGTTGAGAAAGCAGTAGCCACCTGGGGAGTGAATCAATGGGTGGAAGATCTTCCTCTCTGTCTCTTCTCTGAGTTTCCAATAAAAACAAATCTTTAAAAAAAAAAGATACTAGTAATTTTGCTAACTTTAACACAGTTAGCAGTTAGGCAGTTAACATGAGAAGTGTGCATAGATCCTCAGCATCCAATAGCAACTGGTATGGTTTCAATATTAAGTTGGGTGTTACCCAACAGACCCGGTGTTGAAGACTTGGTTTCCACAGACTTGCATCAACAACTAAAAGATTAAGGGGGGAACCTGTGGCCAGTTATGATGTTTGGGATATACAGTTGGTGGACCTAGTAAAATGTCTTGAGGCCTTTGGGGGTTGTGTCCCCAGAAGGTAGTTTTTGTAGAATTGGTTGTAAAGGTGTGAGTTGGAGCAGTGCCTTTCTGTGCTACTTGGCTCTCCATGTAACCCTTCTTTTGCATACACTGCAGCATCAGTCACTGTCTTCAGATGCCCAGACCATAGGACCACCCAATTTTGGACCCTGAACCTCCCAAGCTGCCTTCATTCTATTCTGAGACCTTTCTCCTTTATAATCTCATTAGGCTACTCATTTTAGTGACAAAAAGGCAACCTCTACACCAAATCACTGTGCCTGCCAAGTACTATATAATTAATTAACCTTTCCTATGCATGAGCAGGGCAGTTATTGGGGCATGATGTGAAGTTATCTACAATTTCATTGTGTAAACTTGGTGATAAAAGTGATTGTGTGTGTGTGTGTGTGTGTGTGTGTGTGTGTGTGCTGTTATACTTCTTTTCTTTGGCCAACCTCTAACTTTAGCCACAGATTTTGGGAAAGTTGCAGTTCATGCTGTCAACAGCCTCCCTCACACATCCACCTCCTAAGACAACTGGGAAGGAGCAGCAGACTTGTCTGTCCCCTCACCTTCTGCCTGATAGCGTTAGCGCTCAAGGCTATTGATCAAAAGACCTAGCAGTCTGCTCTGTTTCCAGGCCCCTGTGCAATCTGGAAGTGTGGGAAAATTACCGCGCCCGTAGTGGACTCAATCATTTCGGCCCTGGGGTTACTAATTGAATACACTCAGAGATGCTAATAGAATTGATTTCTTACTGCCCTTAGCAGCAACAATTCACGCATACTTTTTTTTTAAACTTTCACCCCTTACCTGCTTTGCGCTCCCCACTCCTCCATGTCTGATTTTTGGAGTTGGTTCCTAAGAAAACCACTTGCTGCCAACTGCTTGTCAGCTCTGATGTTAGGAGACTTCAAATTCAGATCTGAGCCAGAATGTTTGAACTTCCTTATCTGACTTACTCATTGATTGTCTTGATACTGGTTTTTTGAGGCAGATATTACCACTGTCTCCATTGTATAGATGCGCAACTCAATGGAGAAGTACCTTACCAGAAGCATTTACTGACCTGCTCTTATACTGCAGGAGCCGAAGGTGATCTCTGAGCATATTAACTCACCTATGTGTGCAGGCTGCGCTTGCCTATTGATTGTAGCTTCATGAAAATTTTAGGGCTAAACACAAAATCAAGTGGAAGAATGAGAAAGGAAAGAAAGAAAGGACAGAAGGGAACAGAAGGAACGCAGCCCAGTCACTCCAGGGTCTTACAGGGGGTACTGATGATGGTGAAAGAGGAGTGATGAGGAAAAGACAGTGCTGGCATTTTAACCCAGCAGCAGATCTCAGGGCCCATCCTTGTTGCTCTAACGCTTGACCTCCTCCCAGGGGAGGAATCAACAAAGTGAAGTCACACCCAAAAATTCAGCTGGTGAGAAGAGAAACTATTCCAAAACAGGGCTGGTTGGATCCACAGGTCACCTGCTTGCTCCATCGATCAGTTCCCTTCATCTAAAAGACCAAGTCCACTGCTCTTTTCTTGAAACCACACTAAACAAGACAAGTTTAGTTAGATTCCCATTTGGATTATGGCAATTGTCTATTGCAAGTTGTGGCTAACAGCGGATGCAATGTCTCTGTATGTATCAGACCATCTGTGTTCTTTGGAACTGCTAACGATTTCTCTAGCTGAGAGCTCACGACAGTCTGTGATGCAGAAGTCCTGCTCTCTTCCGGGACCTCTTAAGGAAGCCACTATCCCAGGATGGGAGCAGGGAGAGCTCATCTTGGTCTTCCTCTCTCACCAACTGCCTGGAAGACGCTAGGCATTTAGGTTTCTTTCCTCATCCTCAGCCTGTTCATTTCTCCTCTTTCCAATTCTCAGTCACTGAAATCTTTTGAAAATGCTAATCATCTCATTTCCCTCCTTTCCTTAAGAAAACCCTTTAATAATACTTTCCATTAGCTTCTTTAGGATGGAGGTGGAAATTTCGGGTCATGGCCTCTGAGCAAGTTTCCTTCGGGCAACTGTCCATCTCTTGAAAAATCAACCTTGCTTATTACATTTGAGTTATTCTGTATATGAAACCTGTCTGTTGGTGGAAAGCTTTGCCCAGCTGTCCTCTGCTCAGCCCACTTCCACTCCCACCCTGTCCTACTAAATTGTGCACAGTCCTCAGGTCTGAAGTTCCCTGACACACAGGACCTGACTGTGCTTTTTCTCTTACATCCCTGGTGACCTGCATAGCAGTGGGTGCACAGAGGTCTTGAATGGTTGAACAAATGAGAGTAGGGTTAGGAAACAAAGATGGCAAAAGAGATGGAAACCACTGTGCATCTCCTTTTTTTTTTCTCTCGTTAAGGCCAACCAGGTTCCATTGTTGTAATTCCCCATGGTCCAGTCAATATTGTATGCAATCACTTTATTAATGTCAAATAGATATCACGATACAGGTCTATCCACAGGATCGAGAAACTCACTCACAGATATCATCTAAGACACAAGACTGTTTTGTGCTACAATGCTTCCAACATCACAGATCACACAGTTTATATACAGATAATGACTTTATTCTGGAAATACAGATGCTCGGTTTTCCTTACTTGGACCCTGGTGTTCAACTCAGTTAAAACCAAGAGGTGAAGGTTGGCATTTTCTTAATGATGAATACATTCTCAGGAATATTTTATGAAAACCCTCTTTGGGATATAGAGAAACCATCTTTAATTCCTAGGTCATATTCAAATCAAGATAAGTATGTTGAGCTGTAAATTGAGAATTTTTAATAATTAGATCTAGAAAGGTTAGCTTTACAAATAGGATTTAAAGGTTTGGCTGGTAGTGTCGATTTTACACAATATCCTTCCTGGATTAATGCTTCCTCACAGCGTTGATAAGACCATGCTGTTGGCATCTGTATTTCCGTCATTCTAAGAAATAGCACTACATCAACATGAACAATTCCTGGGCCTTCAGTTTTATGGTTCCCAGAATAAAATCCACAAAAACACCATAGAAAGTTACGAGGGTGTAAACACTTAGCTAAGTAAATAGAATAAATAGTGGGCAAGTAATACATATTTATATAAATCATTGCATTTCTACTAATAGGACAAAATCTCCCAAACTTTAGCTACAATGCATTCAAAACTTGATAAAGCCAGAGAGACAATTTGTAAAGTATACAAAGTAGGGAATATATTTCCTTAAACATCCATTTAACAAATTCATGGTGCAAACTGGAAAATTTTAACAAACATACTTCAAATGTTCATTGTGTGAGAAAATGCTTATTCATGCATTAAATCATAGCATTGATTTATCAAGTAAAAAAAAAATAGAGTAACTGTTTGAAACAAATATTTAGAGATGCACAATACAGGGCCTAAACCTAACAAATAATGCATGCATATTGCACTACACCAAATTGTCTTCTAGGAATCATTTAAAACATCCTTTGCATGAAAATGCATAGGAAACCTTAGTGCTATTTAATTTGCTTTATGCATATTACATACTAGAGAATTTAAGCTACAAAATGCTTTTACTATCTCTACCACATACAAAATGACCATAAAAGTATCGGTGTATATAACAAGGTATTCTCTCCAATTAGCTCTCTATGATGAATAATATATTTCCTTATGTCATCTCACCTCTAAATACCATTTATCACCACCCAGGCTTTTCTGCCTTAATGAGGAAGACCACAGATCTCTGATTTATATGCAACACTCTGCATTAATAATTGATCAGAACTCTTTAAAAAAAATCTTCTGCCACTAAAATGGAAAGTGGTGACACTATCTCCAGAATACAAATGTTTGTTAAATCTGATTAGTAAAGGAAGTGGGACCAGCAGGTTGTTGGCCAAACTCGTCTGAGGATGGCCCCAGATTGGCCTGCTGGCTATACCCACCACTGGATCCATAGCTGTCTTGGTTGTAACCACCTTGACTGTAGCTGCTGGAGTGTTTCTCCATGGGGTCAGAAAGATAGCGTTGCCCAGAGGAATGCCAGCCGGTCTCCTTGAAAACAAACCATATGTTTCCAGCCCAGAGGATGAAGTTCAAGAATCCAAAGACCTGGAGGAGAGAATTAACACGATGAATCAACAGATTAGACTGGGACCTAAGAAAATTAACCTCAATTCCAGAGAAAGCCTCCATAATGAAAAGCACACTTGTTACCTCAATGAGTAGTTTGTTTGGAACTGTTTTCTTCATTTAGAATGTATGGGTTTATCGAATGCTACTGCAAAGCAGAAGTGGCATAGAAGACTTTACATTATCAATTCACTGAGTTTAAGAACAACAATCAGAGAAAAGTGCTATGTTATACCCACAGGTGGGTATGAAAACAGAGAGGTTCAATATGGAAAATAATTTGCAGATCAAATAAGTTGATAAATAGTAAAATGGTTTGCATTCCTAACTAAGCCATGCTTACCTGCCCAAATGAGAGATTCCTCATATTGTGTAAAAATACCTTCAGATAGGAGAGGGCTGAATATTTTTATTTTAATATAGTACATTTATATATTTATACCACAATGGAATTATTATAAACTATAGTATATAATGCTATTTATAAAGTTACATTTTTTCAACTTAAAATATTTAAATCTAATTTTTAATATTGCTTACATGGTTGAAAGGGATGTACCCCCAAGTGGGGCTCCAACTAGGGTGGGGAGGGAAGGTTGACCTATCTTTATGGCAAGTATGCTATCTTTCTACCTATTGTAATAATAATAATATTACAAGTCAATTTAAATAAAAAAATACTGGGTGAAGAATGGTTCAGGTAACATACAGATAAGCACACACGTGGAAACACTCCAGAGGCTCTTGAGGAGTTCATGGAAATGCATGTTATGAAAGAGCTAGGCATGGATTTCAGAGTTTTGGGTACCAGAGTAAACTAATATTTTTAAAAATTGCCCTTTCCACGTATTTTGAAAAGTGCCCCTGTCCATGGAGCTCGAATCTTATGACGAGTTGTACTTTCTTGCCTGTGATGCTGGAGATGAACCCTGTAAACAGACTATAGCATAAGTGTCTATTCCACAGAGGGATGACATGTTTGTTTGAAGTAAGGGAATGGGATTTTCCTATTGATATTGCTGTTAGAACTTTCCCAGAAGTTCCTTCCTAGCTTCTTTAAGTGTTGGATGGAATTAGAGTAATTCCACATGCAGCAGGTTGAAACAGAGGCCCTCATGACATTATTTATTCTGTAGCTGTGACCCAAGCTAGTGGCTGGCATGGGGAATAGCTACAAAGTGTCTATTTTAATAGCCTTCCATTTATTTTCATTATTTTTAATTGACATATTACAGTTGTGCACACATGTTTATGGGGTACAGTGTGTTATTTTGATACATGTAAACAGTGTGGAGTGATCAAATCGGTGTGACCAGCATATCCATCTTCTCTAGCATTTCTTTGTGCTGGGAACATTTTAAGTCCTCATTTGAGTTGTTTACGAACTTACAATAAACTACTCTTAACTGTAGTCACCTTAATATTCCATAGGACCCTAGAACTTTTTCCTCCTATGTAAACATATTTTTTGTACCCGATTGCCAAACCCCTTTTCTCATCCCTTTCCCAGTATGTGTAAACACTGTTCTACTTTATGCTTCCATGAGGCCAACTTGCTTTGCTTCTCTTTATGAGTAAGAATATGTCCTATTTAGTTTTCTGTGCCTGGCTTATTTCCCTTAACATAATGTCCACCAGTTCCATCCCTGCTGCTATAAATGACATGATTTCAGAAAGACAAATACCACATAATGTCTCTCATATGCCGAGCTTAAGAAGTTTAAAAAGTCAATCTAAACTTGGAATAAGGATCACTAGGAGCTGGGAAGGAAGGAGGGAGGATTGAGGGATGTTGTTGGCTTTCAGGCACAGAATTCACAGGCAAAAAAAAGATTGTAGTATTCCACAGCACAGTGGGGTGGCGATAGTTCACAGTAATGTGTGATATATCACAGGCATAAAGGAAAGAGGAGCCGCAAGGTACATCTAACGAAAAGATGGAAGAGTGGAAATGTTCATTGCCTGATTTCATCAGGTTATGCTGCACACCAGTCTTAAAATACTGCACAACATCTCTTAAGGATGCACAAGTATAATACTAATAAAAGTACTTAAACATGCAGGATTTTCTTTTTGTGAACAGATATTCCATGTGTGTATCTCATTTTGTGCATTTGTCTATCCATGCACACCTAGGTTGAGTTCATATTTCATGTATTGTCAATAGTGTAGCAGTGAACGTGGCTGGTGTCTTTCCAACCTCCTCATTTTGCTTTCTTTTGGATGTATACTCAGCACTGAGATGCCTGGATCATATAGTCCTTTCAGAAATCTCCATGCCATTCTCCATATGGCTGTACTCACACACAATCTCACCAAAATGTGTAAGAATTTCCCTTGGAATCCCTCACCAGCATTTGTTACTTTTTCTTATTTCTTAAAAGCAATAGATATTTATTCTAAATTAACAGCTCCCTGTTGGAGACAGGATAACAGAATTATGATACAAAGCATATTTAATCACCCTTCTAGAATGAGAAAGAAGATTCAAACCAGACTTGAGTAATGGCTATGGTTCTAGAGCAGGTGCTAGAAGGTCCCTTCATGGGTTAAAATTTTTGTTGGTTTCTGGATATAGCATTGGTATGGTGAATGCCCTGTTGGGAATACTGATATATTCAAGATGCAGGACCTGGAGCAGGGTCTTTTTACCGAAGTACATAATATGCTTTAAACATTTTTTTTTAATTTAAAAGGCAGAATTATAGAAAGAAGGAGCAATAGAGAGATCTTTGATCAACTGATTCACTCCCCAATAGCCATAACGTCTTGAGCTGGGCTGATCCAAAGCTAAGGGCCAGGCACTACCTGGAGACAGGGGCACCAGCACTTGAGCCATCCTGTGATGTTTACTCAGGGCATAAGCAGAGAGGTGGATTGAAAGAAGAGCAGCTGGGACATGAACTGGTGCCCCTTTGGGATGCTGGTGCTGCAGGTGGAGGCTTGGTTTAGTATGCCATCGTACCAGGCCCCAAAGTATATCAATGTTTTAGCAGGCAGATGAGAGTTCACTGACTTGAGTCTTGGAGTAATTTCCATAGGCTCCGGACTCTTTATGACCTGCTTTGAGATCTTGTACAAAGGTTTTACTCTCGAGTCCTCAGTTTTGTTTTTATGTTTACAAAAAGACAAGAGTTCTTACTGATTGAACTGAACCCTGGTTTATCTAGACAGCCTTTACTCTGTCTTTTTCTATTCCATCCTTCCTCTTTGCTTAACACTCACTGAGCATCCATAGACTGCTTGCAGAGGGCAATAGAAAACATAAACAAGGTTTAACAGCTGCTTGAACAAAATGAACAAGTTCATCACAGACAAAGCTACATACAGAACTTTTGAACTGTGCACAGTTCCCATTAGAGGTGATCCTAATTAAAATCTGGCTTCATATATATATACCACGTACATATATACCAACACGAGAATGTTGAAGCAGTCTTTTCAGTTAAGAGATGGCTCAGAATTTCTTATTTCATACTTTCTCTATTTCTCCTTATGCCACTTGCATTTCAGAACAACAGCTGCAAGAGGAACCTAGGAATCTGGTAAATGCAACTGAGAAAGAGAAAGATGGACAAAGCATTCCATTGAGTGTATTTAAGAAGCAGTGATTTCTCACACTATGGTCAATACAGAAGGAGCAGAAATTTCTACATTGCCACTTTTGAAGGGCACGTGAGCTCTTGCCATTTAGTTGCAAGAAGGATTTAAAGTCAAACTCTAATGTGAGGACAACAGAAAGAGGGGAAAAACTGCATATAACTGAAGAAGTGAGGGGTAGATGAAATATATGAGCCAAAAATAGATGTTAACGTGCATGAAGTGAACCTGGAGAAATAGCATCAGCAATTAAACATAAAATAGTTCTGTTCAGGAAATCTTCGGAAAAAGATTGAGAGCCTAAAAACTTCTCTCCATTTCTCTCTGGAATCTAACACTGTGTGACATTCAAGGAAATGAGTACATTTTGGGGGGTTGGCACTGTGGTGTGCCAGGCAAAGCTGCTGCTTGTAGCGTGGGGCATCCCTCATGGGTACTGATGCACATCCTTGCTGCTTTACTTCCCATTCAACTCTCTGCTGATACACCTAGGAAAGCGCAGAAGATGTTCAAAGTACTTTGCTCTGCACCTACATGGAAGACCAGGAAAAAGCTCCTGGCTGCTGGCTTTGGTTTGACCCAGCCCTGGCTGTTGCTGCCATTTGGGTACAAGCGAAAGGAAGCTCGCTTGCTTTCTCTCATCTCATCTCATCTCTTCCTCACTTTGTAACTCTGCCTTTGCAAAATATAAAATCTTTTGGAAACATTCTTCTTAAGAACATTTTAGTAGCAGCTTCCAGTTGATATGTGTGACCTCTGGCCTTGTGGTGGGCACCATGGCAAGGGATTTCATAGTTTATTTTACTGAGTCCTTTCAATAGTTTTAAAGTCTGTTCTATAGTTACCTCCACTTTCAGGTGATTAAACCAAAGTTTAGAGAGTAAAATTTGTCTTATGGCAACTAATAATGATTTTGAATGCTGCTGCCAAACTGGCTTGAGTCCAGAACTGTGCCATTAAGTATTTGGAGTGACAGGAGAGTTTGGCTACAGCTCTGGCACGTCTGTGACTGTTTGGAGGTTTTACCAAGTCCCCGGAACTCAGCTGCCTGTGTTTGTAGAGTCTGAATAGCTCATGTACATTTGTCTGCTGTTGTGAACTTACAGAGCTCAAGCACTTTGAAGAGAATACTTTTGTTATCAGGAGTAGAAAATGGGGTTACTAGTTGTTGGCCCATCCACTTGGTCATCTATAGTGGTATATTTCTGGCTCCTTCTCCAAACTGTTGCTCAATAGGTCAGTTCTTTGGGTTCTTTCTTGAACGCGTGACTCCCCAAACTTCTCAGACATAATTGACAAGCCAAGGTCAACAGATAGCCTTAGGTGGGTTAGTGAGCTCCTCTCTTTTAGAAGTTGGGATTGGACCTTAGTGATTCTAGTTGAGTACAGGATGTCTTTTTAAGCAGCAGCGCACTATTACAAACTAGAGTAGCTCTGTTCTGTGTTTAGAGAAAGAGGTAATGTAGTATCTGCCAAAGGAATGTTGTCACCAAGAGACAGACATGCAGTAGCATAGAAGGATGAAAAGTGAGAACTGTCCCATTTCCTGAAGGATTCCTATGCCTGCCTCAGGCTTCTGCCCTGGGAGGACACATTTCAAGCATTTTTTTTCCAATTATTTTGTGTTTGCATAAGCTGGTTCCACGAGTTGAAGCAGACAAAAAAATTAATGAAAAAGAAAGAACTTTGCCCTTGAGTAGAGTAATGCAAGGCTAGGTAAACTTGCTTCCCATTAGGGGCAGCTTGAAGAGCTTTTTCTTTGGTACCCCAACCTAAAACCCTGGTTCTGCTCTGTACTTGTTTCATTGACAAGCCTGTTTCTTGAGATGGGATCTATGAGATCACTGGTAGCTTTTCAAAGAAATGTTTGCCCTGATGAAATCATAGTCTGTCTTCCTAGCAATCCAGGTATAATGCATACAAACATTGGTATCAGAATTGAGGTGTAACAAGCAGATCTTACCAGTAAAGTATTTTATTTTGACAAATTGGAAAGTGTTCTGTCCCAAGGAACTAAAGGGCTCTTCAGGGCCATAGATGCCTCCAAGCTGTCAGATGCATTCTTTCACACACATCACATTAACTGATTCTAATATAGCTCAGTTTTTGATTTTTAGGAAACACATAACATTGTTTTTCACTCATAATTCCTATTTTCATTAAAATGTATTAGAGATTTCAGAAGTGAAACTAAAAGTAATATACCGTGTCTGATAAAATACTGAGTTTTTAGCCTAAGGGACACACCAAGTAATTTTATCTTTGTCTTCTTATACTTCGAGATCAGGGTGACAATGGTTTTATAATTAAAAACTGTCTAGAAACAAATTATGGAGTAATAATTACATACACTGATATGTACCTTAAGCTATTAATCAACATTACCATCATCTCTTAGTATATACTTCATTTCCATGGCTAGCAGCTCATCAAGGCAGGATTAAGTCAAATCCTCACGAGAAGAATAGCTATCTTTTTTCCTTTCTTTACTTCCTCCCCAAAGTGAATTTCAGAAAGCTGTAGAAACACAGGTTAACCTAGAAGCAAAGATGAATATTCTGGGGGTTTTCTGAAGATCGCTGTGCCTGCACCCAACATGGTTGAGCCTTCTATTTGTTAACTGCTGCTTTTTTCCTGCCATCATAGCTTCTTGGACACAACTTCTCTCTTTGGGAAAAAACAAATACCTTACCAACACATATATATTCACAATCCGATTTGGTGTCTCTGTGGTCAGATGCTCTTACTATTACATCTAGATACTTGTTGATGATATCTGACTTTGTTCAGCTCACATGGTAGATCTTCTAAAATTACCAAGTAATCCATTAGGGAGTACTGGGAACATAAAAATGCATCACCATAACTATTATAAGTATTTTTTAATAACATGAACTGTGCTGCTTTTTGTCTCCTACTAGGTTTATGTGTCTTTCTTTAATCAGTAAGGTGTATTCTGCATGTGGTTTAATGTTTTCTTCCCAGGAATCTTTTATACCATCAAGTTGTCCTTTTAACTTTTCTGACAGTCTTCAGGCTTAAAGCTCAGATTTTATATTTGCTTCTGGCTGCGAATTTTGACTTGCCTGTCATCTAAACAGCAGCTGCCAATACCTGCTGTGTTCTTATTAAGAACTCTGTAATTGGTGGCATTAAAGCCTATGGCTTGTCACAATTAAAAAAAAAAAAAAATGAAGACCAACCATCACATTGTACCTGGAATGAAATACTATTTCTTTGATGGGTCTAGTTTTCAAGGCAGAAATTTCTAAGATGATTTCTGAGCTGCCAGTCTCACGGTTTCACTTTCTAAAGATTTGGGAGGGAAAGCCTACTTACCACGGAAGTGTTTAAGCTGGACATGACAGGACTGTGAACAGCCATGCATTTGTTGGAAGGCTGTTTGCAAGCTGACATCAGTAATAAGACTTCGTTGGGGTCTGTAGCGACTTTGACATCAGATAGTCCTTTCGCCCAAGCTGATGAGCCCACCAACCACAGGAAGGAGAAGACTACAGTGACGATGAAGTCCTACAGAAACATGAGATAAAATAGCAAAGGGAAACATCAGTACTCAGGACAAATGCTTGCGTTTACACTAAAGGTCTGTGGCATTTACATTACATAAATAATGGTAGTGTTTATTGAGTGCTTCCAGGGATGTTGAGCACATTAATATCCCTCATTTGACTTCCCCTAGCATTCCTGCAATCAACTTAGTATCATCATCCTGTTAGATGACAAACTCAGAAATCAGTACAACTTAACAGGGTTGGCATTTGGTTACAAACCCCTCTCTAAACTGTTATCAGACTCTTACACATTCAGAAAGGTGTGCCAATTGTTGAACACTCCTGGCTGTCAATGCTCCTTAATTTACAAACCTACATGTCATCCTTTTAATGCTTGGAGCTGAGTTTAAAGGGAAACAATAATAGCTGTTAATATTCTAAATGCCTATGGCACATGAGAAGTTTTATGTAAAAGTTCTCTTAATTTTAATCCTATTACATTTATAATGCCCCCTTTAAAGATGAGGGAAGTGAGACCCAGACATATAAAACATAGCAAGTGGCAGACAGAGCCAAAATATGATTTCAGATGTTTTTGACCCTGGACTCCCTATTTGTTCAGAAGAGAGAAGTTTCTAGATTTATGTTATACAAAATCTCAGTGATGTGAGGCAAGGACTGTTTTCAGAGAGCACCATCCCCAAAACTCATTCCTTCCCTAAGGATGCAGAGGGAGTGACAGGTGAAAACTCACTGTCCAGTTCTAAGGACAATTCTCCAGATTGACCGTGTTGATGCTCAACTCCTGGACACATGTTCTGTGCTACTGTCAGCGGGCTGCAAACGAGGGTATAATTTTGATACCTCAGCAGAAATGGGCTGTTCTTTGATTTTTAAAGGCCTCAAGTAGAAAGTGTGCATGTGTTTCTTAAGAGCATGATGCCTGGGACTTGCTCCGGCTTCCGTCTATGTGGTGTCACGGACTGACTCGGTATTCGAATCCCACGAACTGAGTGGTAGAAAGTCTAGGCTGTAATGGTGCTGTTGTGCCTAGCATTTGCTAGGCTTGGTTCCCAGTGAAGGTGAAGAGGCTCCACTTCTGGAAGTCGTAGCTATGGATTGTTTAGCTCACTGGTTACATTGTGTTGACTCTGGACCACTGAAGGAGTTGATGACTAAATCCTACAGTTTCGTGGTGTGGGCATTGTAACCCTATTCTGCATGTTGCTGTATATGCCCATCTTTGATTCCTTCATTTCTAATAAATTCCATCTTGTATGCCATCTTGAGTGCTTTCTGATGTGAAGTGGAAGTATAGACAAACAAGAAAAGATAGTTACCTGCAGTGTTTCATTATTAAGAAATATTAGTAGAAGATCAGGTGTCTGGATTTGAATTGAACAGTGGAAGAAGAGTTCCAAATAAGTCAGACTAAGATCAGTTTTCTGCTCATGTTTCATTTATTTATTTATGTATTCGTTCAAACAGTAATATGCTAGATATTAAGCAAGGTTTTAGAGGAATAAAACTTCCTAGTATGGATCTTTGCATCTTAATTAACAAATTGAATTGACATGAAATTCTAACTTGTTTATGGGATATCATGTTTCAATATATTTTATGTTGCACAATGTCTAATCAGAATCAACATAACTCGCATCTTCCACTTACCATTTCTCTCTGTTGTCTCTTTGACTTTTATGTGTTTGCTGGAGTTCAATGGTTAAAATTCCAAGTATGAGAGTGACTGTCATTATTTAGTCATCATCCTTAGAAACAGCCTTAAAAAGTCACTTAGATGGAACTAAGAATAGAATTCTAGGAGATAATTCAGTGGGAAGTTGGAGCAAACTAGGTCAAAAATTTCAGGTTTTACTGTTGAAATAGTAATCATACATCCGTTTACTGATCAGTTACTGAATGCTAAGTGTTATTCCACGTTCATGTGTCTGACCTCAGTCTTGACAACAGCGCCATGAGAAAGATGCTGATCCTGTTCTCAGTTCACAGTTGAGGAAACATACACAATGAAGTTACACACTGTGCAGAGCCATGAGTTAGGAAGCGAACAAGCCAAGATGCTGAGCCTGGAGGTCTGTTGCCAGGGCTGTGTGCAGGGCTGTCCTACACTGCTTCTCATGTCTGTTTAAAACTAGTAAGTTAAACATTTTTTTAAAAAGCTGGAGTTGACATCATAATTTTCTGTAAATTAACGTGGTTAAAGTCAAGGATCTATAGGGTTATAGATGTTTTTGGAAGTTGACCTCACTTCCTGTCTCGTTCTCTTAAAGAGGAATCCGTATATTATAGTAGGTTATCTTTTATATGAGTTCAAAGCTCAGGTTAGTGATCATGCAGACCTCATTTGACACTTTCTGGCTATGTGGCTTTTGACAATTTGTTACATTTCCTGCAGCCTCAGTTTACCTCTCAATAAACTGACATAGAATCTGCCTTGTAAGATATCATAAATAAAATTCTTACTGTACCAAATAGGGTCCGTTACACATAAAATTTAATGTTATCAGTAAAACAAGCAATAAAAGCCACAATAATAAATAGCATGGTGCTGTGAAGTAGAACTCTCATGCCTGTAGCTCTGTCTTAAGTGACTTATATCTAGCAGCTAAAAGGTGGAGACTTTGAACAAGATTGTAAATAGCACCATTTAAAAATAATTGAAAAAGTTGGAAACCAGCTGTAGGTCTGGCAATGGAACGTTAATGTGCAGTCATGAAAAATAACATGGCAGAACACTGCTGACATTGATTTACTCCTAAGACAGTGGGCCGAGTGGAACACAAGTATGAACCTGCACTGCTTTGCTCAAAAATGACCAATGACTCCATCCTTCCAGAAAATAAAATCTGAAGGCCTCATACAGCTTCACGTGCAATAATGATCTGGCTGCTCTTCTACCACTTCAACTTCAGTTCTTACCTTGCTTCTCTTAACCCATCCCACCTATAGGCCTCCTTGTACTGAGGAACACACACAAATCTGAGGTTGCATTGAACACATCCTTCTCTCAATTACAGACGCAGGCCACTCCCTTTCTTCCCTATTTAATGTCTTCAGATGCTTTCTTGCCAACCATGAATAAGTGGCATCTGAGCTAAATTGTATTCTCAATTTGAATATTCTTAATTTCACTTTTGAAAATTTTCAAGTTCTTTTTTATCAAGTGGTATGCTGTACATTTAATTGCTTTTTAATTCTTTATCTCCTCCACCTAAATGTGAGTAGATTATGGACAGTATTTTGTCTGAGGTGTTCATTATTGCCTGCCCAGCATGTACATAGAATGGTGCCCGACGCATAGTAGGTGCTTAGTAATTAGTTATTAAATGAATGACGGTAAGAGGAAGTATTTGTGAGATGTAAGTAGCAGGGCTACAATACATGGTTCCAGGCCACACACGTGCCTGCCCTGGGCTGTTGCCTCTGCTCTTTGTCTGCCCTGTCTCTCCCAGACCTGACTTGCTTTGTCACCTTAACGCGTCCCCACTAATGATCACCTTCCCGGATGGGTTTCCCTGGTATTCAGTCTTCAGTGTACCTTATACACCCATATCTCTATTCCCTTATTCTGCTTTTCCCTTTCTGCAGTTTGAATCTCTGCTTGTTGGTTCATCTGTTTCTCCCAGCACAATGCCAGCTCCCTGGCGGTAGGACATTGTCAACTTGTTCGTTGCTGTGTCTCACGGGGAAGGTGTCATCAGCATTTGGTGATTGGGAGAATGAGGGAAAACATGAATGGATCCATACACAAAATATTCCAGGTGTGTTAAATGTGTATATTTGTGTATGGAGCACTGGAGAAGATTTACTAAGTGATGGTTGAATTCGAGATGACTTTTATCTTGTTTTTGGTAATCTCGGTGTCTTTTAAATCATTTATTATTCATTCTCATTATAATGTGGTCATATGATCAGGTTGTTTATATTCAATACATATCATCTCAAGTGGGAGTTTTGCACCAACAGGTTTCAAAATATGTTGAAGCCGGGTTTCAGTAGTTAAGCAAAGTGCCTAGATGAGCAGATCATGTCAGAAATTCTAGTGAAGAAATATTTTTGCCAGGAACTTCATGGTTTATGGATTCATGTCTGACCTTGTTCCCTTGGGCAGAGAAAGATGTGAGGATAAATACTTGACTTCATTTTCTGTTCACTCTCCCACTTCCCATGGAGCTTCCCTGCTGGCCACACCTACCTGGGATCCCAAGGGCAGGAATTCCAAGCCGTGGCCCATGCAGGTCAGCTGCTGGGCTCTAGGTAGACGAGACACCACCCGGAACTAAGGGTTGCTGGCCTTGACCAGTGAGTCATTAATGCAAGCATTTGGCCGAGCTTCTACAAACATCACTAACCTTATGACTTAACATCCATTTCTCCTGTTCTACTAAAGGGGACTTCAGCCTATGCAGGTTAAATACTTTAATTACGATTAACCTCTGGTTTGAACACTGTGGCATGTCAGAAGCCTGCTGACAATTTAGAGGAAAAGATGCTTTTATACAGATAACGCAGTGTTCTCTAAACTTCTGTTCATTTACTACTACATAATTTTTATTACAAATTCTTGTATTTAATATTTCACTAAATTATGCTTCATATATATAAGCAAGTTCATCTTAGAAATTACACATCTTGTAAATGTTACACTAATACATTTCCAGAGACAGAGAGCGTTAATATGTGATTTTTTTTTCTAAGTGCGAGCAAAACATCTGAATTTTACCCAAGGCTTTGGAATACAGGATCTTTGTTAAAATGGGAGATTCATGACTGTTCTTAATGGAACAGTAGCGTGGCCCAATTAGAAAACTGGAAGTTAAACTGACTATGGGATACCCTTCTTCTTGCTGTTATTTATGGCATGTTAAAGGTCTGTCTAAGACCATCTTCCATATCAGGAGGACATGCTGGCACTTGGGAAGTGACTTGAGTTGGTGCATGCTAGCAAAGGGCCCAGATAGCACAGGGAATATAAATGCAATGTTCTCATGGTGCATG